CCTCTACCATGCAGGATGCAATGGCCAGAGCTCTCGAATTTGAATCCTACGTTAAGTCCAGCACAGAAATACCGAGGTAGGTACAGTAATCTGGATTAAAGGCCAGAAAAATCAGCTTTCAGAGAAGTTTGAGGGATTTTGGTAGCACTGTAATAAACCTGGGCACAAGAGAGCTCAATGCTGGAAACTTCAGCACAGGGGAGATGATACAGCAGGAAAGGCTGCTACCCAGAAAGGCTGTTGGAACTGTGGGGAGCAAGGACATCTGAGGAGCCAGTGTAAGAAAAATACCGCCAATAAGTCAGCTTCGGGAAACCAGTAGTGGTTGGTGCTAAGGGACGCCCACCAACCTCCATTGTGAAAGTCCCAACAGCTAAGTGTAAAATGGCAAGCACACATAGTATCTATGTGACAGGGAAGCTGGAAGGCCAAAGGTGCAACTTTATCATAGATTCTGCATCTCAGCAGACCCTTGTGAGTATCAAGGTGCTGGATAACAAAGGAGTACCAGAAGCTGTACAGAAGCTCTGTGGTGTGACAGGACAATATACAAGATTGTGGGGATCAGTGTGGGTAACTATTGAGCTCATGGGCATAAAGGACAGACAGAAAGTATACTTGGCTGACATTGAAGACGAATGCATATTTGGATTGGCCTATCTACTACCGAGGAAGTTTGTAATTGATTTTGATAAAATGACGTTTGGGAACAACAAAGGCCAAGTTCCGTTAACTGTTAAAAGAGAGGTTGAACTAATTAGGTGTCATCAAGGTGAAGTCAAAGTGACTGAAGAAGTTGATGATGATGAAGTGGAACCAAATATAGATATCAAAGCAGAACAGGAGAAAGACCAAGATTTGAAGCCAATAATTGATTTTCTAAAAACAAGTGTTTTGCGCCCTGCTTGGGAGAAGGTGTCTAGTCTAAGCCCTGTGATAAAGCACTATTGGGCGCAATGGGACCAGTTAAAGCTTGAAAATGGTATTCTTGTCCGGAGATGGGAAACTACAGATGGGAAAGTGACGACTTGGCAAACAGTTATACCGAGGAAGTAACGGGAAGTTGTGCTGCGTCAATCCCATGATAATTTAACAGGAAGACATCTCGG